CGGGCTGTGCCCACCCGGGCACCGAGCGCCCCCGGCCCCGCTGTGCCCACCCGGGCTCCGAGCCCCGCTCCATTCACCGCCCCCAGCGCCCACGGGCAACGGGGAACCTGCGGAAAGCACAAGTGTGGCTGTAATTGGGATTAATCTATTTTTAGCAGGCTGTCTGCTGCCCTGTCCACGCTCCAGCTGAGATGTTTAATTCTGTCCAGCTCGACTCTTTCTGCAGTGGCACCCAGGACTGGTTTTTCTTTTCTTACAAACCTTGAATTTATTGTTTTTCTTTTTTTCTTTTTTTTTTTAATTTTCATTTAATTGTTATTCTTAGTTTGGTTTTATTTAAAAAAAAAATCCCCCACGAACAATAACTGGAAAATCCAGAACTAAAGGTTGCTGTATTAAAAAATCTTCTCATGGGCTGCAGCTATACTATTTAAAAAAAAAAAAAAAAAAAAAAAAAAAAAGTTATACAACGTTTACTATCATTATTATTCATTTTACTATGGAGTTTGGAAACCTCGTCATAGATCAGGAATGTGTTGTACCCTGCGCTGCACAAACAGCACAGAAGGAAAATTGCCTCTTCCAAGCTATATTGGATAAAACCACGCAGTGATACCAAAAGGATTTTTGTTAAACAGCAGCAGGACAAGATGTTAAAGCCATGTCTGAGCACCTCAGCACTTTCAGAGCCCGCATTTAAATACCTGCCGTGCGTATCTTTAACCTTTTATGAGGTATTTGCAAAGGGAACTTCGAGATTAGCATTGGGAAAACACCCTGGAACAGAGCTGGACCGACATCAAGAGGCTCCTCGGGCCCCGCTGCCCGGCCCGGCAATGTTTCCCTTTTCCAAATCTCCTGCCCCGTGCCAGAGTGGGACCCGCTGCCCAGGGGAGAGGCACCTTTAGCAGGGCACGGGGCGGGAGTGCGGCCCTTTGGGGTTTTCCTCCCACGGCCTCGGGATTGGGAAGATGCTCCGCAGGCAAAACCAGGCTCCGGTGCCGAAACTGCCCGGCAAACCCAGCCCGGGGCCGGTTCTGTTCGGGCAGGGCAGGTTTGGACCGTGTCCACCCCACCCGTGTCCCTGTCCAGGGCCGGTTCTGTTCGGGGCATGGATAGGGCGGGTTTGGGTTCTGCCCACCCCACCTGTGCCCCTGCCCAGGGCCGGTTCTGTTCGGGCAGGGCGGGTCTGGACCATGCCCACCCCACCTGTGCCCCCGCCCGGGGCCGGGCTGACTCACGGAGCTGCGGGTGCGGAGCCGGAGCGCGGCTATTTCCGTGCTCCCCCTGCAATCCCCGCTCCTCCGGCTGCGCTGTCAGGCACCTCAGCACCCCCGCCGCCTCTATTCTTAGCAGCTAATAGCTGAAATAATTCCTTTTGTCTCCGCGCTGCCGGCTCCTTGGATGGGGAGCGGAGCGAACGCTGCCCCCACAGCCGCTCCCGGGGGTCCCGGGGGTCAGGGCAGGGTCCCTGTGCCAACCGGGAATTCTGCTGTGGGCTGAGGATCCCAAACACCCCGACCCCGACCCCAGCACAGCCATTCCGCGGTGCTTTGAAGCAGCTGGGATGTTAATGCGGTGCCACCCCTTTGAAAAGGATCCTGGCTCTCCCAGCTGCGTTTCTTAGACTTCACCGGAAAAATTCCAGGTTCTCAGAGGGAGGGCCGGGTTTTCACCTGCGGGCTCCCATTTCAGAGCCTGCTCTGCGCCGTGGGCTGGGTTAGCACCGAGAATGCAAACTCTGCATGCAAATGTGACTCCCCAGCGCCAGCGCGGCCGTGCCAACACATCCCCGACAGCGCCCGGGAACGATCCCGCAGCTCTGGCACTGCCGGCTTTTGACCCCAGCACCAGCTGCTCCTCACAATTCCCCTGAACCCCCTCCCCAGGGGCCCTGGAACCCCTCACCCTGCTCTTTGTGGGACTGTCAGCTGTGCACACCCAAAGAGACCCACGGAATTTGCTTTAAAACTGTTTGGGAAAGGGTTTATTGCTCTTTATCTGCGTGCTGCTCTTCCTCCTGCTGCTTGGGACCCCAGGGAGAGCAGCAGAGTGTTCCAAATGGAACAGGGTGCCCAGAGCAGCTGTGGCTGCCCCTGGATCCCTGGCAGTGCCCAGGGCCAGGTTGGACATTGGGGTTGGAGCAGACTGGGACAGTGGGAGGTGTCCCTGCCCATGGCAAGGGTGGCACTGGGTGAGCTTTAAGGTCCCTTCTAACCCAAACCATTCTGTGATTCTGCTGGGCTGGTAAAGAAAGGACTCACTGACCATTTCTCTGGAATTCACTAAAGCTTGTCTGGAAAACAATAAACCTTTAGGGAAAAAAGGAGACCTGAGTGTTTGCTGTGACTCTGTCCCTCACTGAGGCTGTGTTTTGTAAGGATGATCGCTGACAAATCCAACAAGAGCTACCCCACATCAGCACTTGAAAAACTGACTGTTCTGCGTTTTAAAGCAGCTTTTAATCCTCTGGGTTGGTAAAGTGAAGAAACTTTTCCATTGCCCTGTCCACCTTTGCCCGATTCTTTGCTCCTTCCGTTTGTGCCCAGCCACTCCCGAGGGGATGTGCCAAGACTCCCCTTCCGTGGCTGCCGAGGTCGAGGGGTTACAGATTTACAGCTGCCCAGACTTGCTCCAGCCCAGGCAGGAATTCACTTGGCATAAACGAGGCCTTTGGATTATTTATCTCAGCCCTTCAGTTAAACAGGAACATGCCCTGATTTTAACAATCGTGCTTCCTGCGCTGGGGGAAGGTGTGGCCGATGGCATTTAAACCCAAACCTGAGCCAAGGCTTCCCCAGCAGGAAGCTGGAAGTGCGGGCAGGACCACGAGGGTTTCCTTCAGCACTCAAAACACACCAAGGACCTCCCTCAGGTTATTTTATCACCCCCAGCAGAAATCGGGATGTGCACGAGGGTGAGATTTGGGGAGCGTCAGCAGAAAATCGCATGGGAGAACTGAGGAGAACCTTTAGGTAGAGGCTGGCACAGAAGCAGGGCAAGCCCAAACCTCCTCTGGAAGCTGAGAAATCGCTCCCTGATCCTTTTATGGTGCTGAGGGAACTGTCAGCGACAGCCTGGAGGGTCAATGCCCTCCCTCCCACCTAGAAAATGGAATTTTCCTCAAGCATCCAGCCCAAACCATCCCAGTTGCAAGTCCTGAAATCTTGTTAAAACGATCAGCACTATAAAAACTCTTTATTAATCAGCACTTTAATCACTCAGGGCCCAGCTGTGATCAGCCATGGGGTCACCCCCAGTTTTGGAAGAGATTCCTACCCTGCCATTCTGACAGTGACACTGATCTCCCTGTCTCAGACCATAGCCATGGATTATTCCAAATTTTCCAAGCCTGCTTTCTAGCCCAGGACTTTGCACCCTCATAGACAGTTCTTACAAAACCAAAGCTCTGTCTCCTAAACTCTGTAAAGAAAAGAAAAAAATCTAAAAAAAAAAACCAAACTAAACCAGTAGCAACATATGGAAATGGGCTCCAGTTAAACCAGAAAAACAGCCTAGATTTTTATAGTGGAATGTCGAAGATGTTCGAACCAGAAAATGCTGAATCCTGCCAAAGAGTGCCAGAAAACGACTTCATGTTTTTAAGCCTCATCACTCAGTTCCAAGGGCTGAAGTTTTCCACTGCCCAAAGATTTCTTACACAGTTGATTCTTCCCCAGTGCAGCACAGCTCTGAGTTCTTCTTGGGAGCCTGAGTGCCACCAGCAAGTACTTAGAGCCACCTAAAGACACAAACATTCCAGGGCTGGTGATTTTCACAGGAAAACAAACCATAAAATAAACACCACATTTCCCCTGAAAGCAACCAGGAAGAGTAATTTGAAATAAATTGAACTTGGTTTCACGTTCTTAACGCACCACAGGCATGACCAAAGCAGTGTGGGCTGAAAGCAGCAGTGAACAGCCCCATTTCTGAGTTTCATCTCACTCTGGAGTTTCACCTGGCTCTGTCACATCTGTGGATCTCCAGGTGGCCTCTGCTGCCTGCACAGCGTGGTGCAAACCACCAGGGAAAAGTGGGAATGTGGAAAATCCGCCCTGGCCCCGCGTGTTGGGGCTCCTGAGAGAATGGGGGTGACTGAGAGCAGCACAGGCAGCTCCAGGTCTCAGCAAAGCCCAGCCTGCCTCGGGGGATGACTCATTTCAGGAGCCTGAGCTCGATTCCAGTCATTAAGGAAGGAGTTAATCCCTGCAGCTTTGGCCACAAAGTGGATGTGTAAGGCCTGGAGTCCCATGGGCTCGATTGCATAAGAAACCATGTATTGTGGCATTCAGTTGATCATGCACTACTTCTTCTGGTCACATGGAGGCTTGATTTCCCCTTGCATCAGCTACTACAGACTTTTTACATTTCTCGTACTGGTGTCTGTTCAGTTCACCGTGGTCATCCCCTTCACCCCACAGCAGAGCCTGTGCTGCTCACCCAGCCCTGAGCCACGGGATCTCACCCCATTTTTTGTAGGATCCTGTCAGAGGAACCGGGCGCTTGTAATTTCTCTCATTTGTGTCTGTGCGTAACAGGTGTCATTTTCAGTGTAGTACAGACAAATCCCAAAATAGCTCAGGCTCTTCAGACGCTGCGAGGAGAAAAAAAACCGTGGTTACTTCAGCTTTGGTTGTAGTGAAAAACCCAAGGCTCGCAGCCGGCTCTGAAGTCGGAATTAAAATGGCAGACGGAGGAGAGGAGCAGGGATCTCTCTGCATTCCTTGTTTCCTGATGGACTGCTCCTCACTGCTCTGTGTGTGCACATCAACTCCCTCACAGTGCTGCCTCTCCAGCAGCTCCCCTGGTTCCCAGGAGCTGCACCCAGCACGGATCCTCCTCCACATTCCCAGTGCCAGCAGAGCTCTGCTCCTCCTGCCGGGTGCTGGCCGGAGGCACCAGAGTTATTCCAGGGATTTGGGGGGCAGAGGAGAGGAGAGGGTGCAGCTGCAAAAGGCTCCTGGCCTGGGGATGATGCCTGCTGTGCTGAAATGCAGGGCTGCCTGTGGACTGTCTTTGTCGGGGATTATTGGATTCTGGTGACTCCAGGAGCGGGGTTATTAGTTCCCCTGCCTACGCTGAGCGTTTTGAATTTTCGTGTGTGATAACACTTATTAATACTGCTCAGATTAAGAAGACCCTATGGCTTTCCAGCACTTTCAGCACCTTATCTCACGCCAAGCATCTGCCCAGCAGCAGAACCATGCTCAGATCAGTGTGCTGTGGCCAGCAGAGCAGGGCCTTGTGGGGCCAGCAGGAGCCTCATGCCCAAAGTCCTGCATTTGCTCACAGCAGCAGCTCCTCTTAAGCTGCCTTGTGCTTCAGGGGATCTGCCTGCTGAGGATTTGAGGGACGTGGGCCTAAAATATTTTATTTCAGGAAGTCAAGCAGTGGTTCCTGTCACCGAAACAGTTAATCAGAAAGCACCAACTCTCCACTGCAACGTGTGTGTGCGTGCACGTGTTTTTGTTTTTTAAAGCCAGCAAGATTTGCTTTGGTTTTTTTTAAAGCAGAAAACACCAAAAAAGTTGGCTGTGGTTTCAGCTGCTATCGCTCGAGATTTGTACTGCTGTCTACCAATCCTAAAAGAGTTAACCTGGTAAGTATGACTCAGAAGCAGAGAAGGAGATGCGAGGCTGAGAGCCGGGGAGGAAGCGCAGAAACAGAGGTGAGGAACAGAATAATTGCCAAAAAAAGGTGCAGAGTCCAAGAGCGACGTTCCCTCCGGTCTGCCTGGCCCTGGCACCGCTGGCACGGGCTCCCTGGAAAGCTGCAGTTCCGCTCTTATAACACAAGGAGCAGGCTGGAGAATTTAGAGCTGCGTCACAGAGCTCAGCGAGAGAGTGAGAGAGCAAGCTCCGTCGATAGGTCTACCAGCAACAGCCCTGCTGCAGCAAGAGGGGAGAGAGGCAGCAAGAGAGGCACAGAGGGCTCCAGGGAGAGAAGTGGCACCAACACCACGGACTGGGCTCCTGCCACCATCCGCTGCCATTTGCACCCTGCATTGGGGCTCGCTTGGCGTAGGAGGCTTCGCCCATTGACGATGCTGGAGACCCGGCGCGCTTAATCCCGCGGGGAGGGAGAGTGGGCAGACACCGAAAGGGTTAACGGGAAGGAAATTTCTGGAACCTTCTCTTCTGCGGCGCTCCAGAGCGAGCGGAGGGCTGCGCAGATGGTGCACGGGCACGGCTCCTCGGTCCGGTTCGTCTCCCTCACGTACGTACCCTTTGATCAGGATGGGGCTCGGAGCTGCAGCTGCGTATTTGGATTATTTGCAGGGCGTCCCTTTCCCCCGGCGTCCCTAAGTTCGGATCCCAAAGTGCCTTTCTTATTATTTTGGCTGGGTAGGATTGCTCTGTTCTGCGTCAGAGCTGTTTTCTCAATGGAGCGACGGCACAGGTTGTACTAATGTCACTCCTGCCGGCATTGCTGTACTGCAGAGGAGGGTAGTAGTGCTGGGGGAGAGATGACAACTTTGCAAAGACTGCTGTTTTCCCGGTTTGTCTGGGCTTTCTATCCCCCCCCGTGTCCCTGGAGGCTGGCATGTCAGCGAGGGGTCGGTGCAGGGGTTAACAGGCGCCCTGCATTCGGAGCTCGGAGGTTTGTCACTGCGTAGTTCGCAAAGTGGCAAACGGTGACGCAGTGATCATTGCAGGGCACGTCGTCCAGTTTTTAAAAGCACTGGGGACAGGTAGACGGGTGCCTTCCAGACGCTTCCACACCAGCTGAAAGGGGTTAAAGATGAGTCGAGCCGGGAAGCCAGCATTTAGGGATTAAATGTCATCATTTTGGCGTTGGAAAGTTGTTTACCTTGCTCTCTCGGTGTCTCCATGCTGGCAGGCGGCCAGCTCACATGTGATAGTCTTCCCTGGACTGCTGCATCATTAACGAGAGCCAGCGCCGGCTCCCATTGGCCGGGGAGGGCGCAGCGCCGGGGCCGCGCCGCCATTGGGCGCGCCGGGGATGGCAGGTGGAGCGCCCGAGCCCATTGGCCGTGCGCGGTGTCGGCGGAGCGGGGCGAGCACGGGCTGCCCTCTGACCACTGCCACTGCCACTGCCCAGTGCCCACTGCTCCTCTTCCCTGCCTATTCCCTGCCTGCTCACTGCTCACTGCTCACTGCTCACTGCCCGCGGGTGTCGGCGGAGCGGCGAGCGGGGCCAGCACGGGCTCCCCTCTGCCCACTGCCCAGTGCCCAGTGCCCACTGCTCCCTGCCCGCGAGTGGAGCACTGTGCGAGCGGGGCTGCCCTCTGCTCACTGCCCATTGCTCCCTGTCCAGTGCCCTGTGCCTGCTCCCTGCTCCTATTCCCTGCCTGCTCCATGCTCCCTATTCCCTGCCTGCCCAGTGCCTGCTCCCTGCTCCTATTCCCTGCCTGTTCCTATTCCCTGTGTGCTCACTGCCCGCTCCCTGCCCGCAGGTATCAGCAGAGCGGCAGAGAGCGGGGCTGCCCACTGCTCTCTGCTTGCTCCCTGCTCCTATTCCCTGCCTTGCCCTATTCCCTGCCTGCCCACTGCCTGCTCTCTGCTCCTATTCCCTGCCTGTTCCTATTCCCTGCCTGCTCGTGCCAGAGGAGTGCCCCTGCGAGCACTGGGCTCCTGCCCTCTGCCCGCTCCCTATTCCGTGCCTGCTCCGTGCCCATGGGTGTCAGCCAGAGTGGCCGTGTGAGTGCAGGGCTGCCCTGTGCCCAGTGCTGCCTGCTCCCTATTCCTGCTCCCTATTCCTGCTCCCTGCCCACGAGTGTCAGTGGAGTGGCCGTGCAGCATGGCCAGCACCAGGCTCCCCTCTGCCCTCTGCTCCCTGCTGCCCACTGCTCCCTGCCTGCTCGTGCCAACCACAGCAGCCAGCAGCGGGCTCCCGTCCCCTGCCCACCGATCCCTGCTCCCTATTCCCTGCAGGTGTCAAACCTGGACGTTCATCCTGATACTCTGAGCACCAGCAGCTGCCCCTGCCCTGTTCTCTGCCTGCCTGTTGTCTGTTCCCTGTCAGTTCCCCCTGCTCCCTGCCCTTCCCTGCCTGTTCCCTGCCCAGTCACTGCCCATTCCCTGCCTGCTGCCAGCTCCCTTCCCACTCCTGCTCCCTGCTCTCTGCCCACCACTCCCTGCCCGCTGCTCGCTCTGTACCCACCTGGGATCCCGGGGTGCCAGGTGTCCCTGGGGCAGCAGGCAGGACAGGAGCTGGTCCCTGCTCGGTGTGCTGGGTGCAGCCCTTCGCCCATGGGTGCTCCCGGGTCTTGTTTCGCCGTCCAGTCGTGGTGATGACGTGTCAGAGCTGCAGCCCACGGTGCAGGGGAAAGTACTGGGGTTCAGGGCTTTTCTCCTTGCTTCCTTCTCCCTTGTGAGGTGCTGGAGTGTTGGCAGTTCTGTGAAGTGCTTGGGGCAGGGATTGCACCTGGAAATTATGTCGTGGGAATAGTTAAAAGAAATGAAAACTACTCTTGCCCAAACTCAGCTTTTGTTTGCACAATTCTGAGTTTGCCACAGGCTCAATAACATCACAGAGAGATGGAGACTGCCCTCAGTGATGGGTCTGAAAGGTCTGCAAAGGAGTAACAGCGTTAGAAAGCCAGGACAGAAGGATGGGAAGGATTGGTTAAGGATGAATGGGAGACTGAGGGCAGAGAGCAGTTCCAGAGAGAGGATGAGGAAGTGAAAGGGAGAACACTTTTCCCTCTTAACCATTTACTATACTATTTTTTCACCTCTCTTCCTAAAGCGACCAGCAATGAAGATGGCAGCTCTGCCTGGAAGTGCTGAGGACACAGCCAGCCTTGAGCTTGGTCCTTCTGGCCGAGGAAGTCTCCCGATTATGCAGTGGAGTGGTAACTTTGCTTTCTCATACAACAGGGACCATTATTCCATAGCCCTTCACCATTGTGAGGCTGACCCAAGTTGCAGGATGTGCTAGCAGCAGTGTTTAATCTCTGTTACTCACTGGCTGACATCTCCAGAGCCAGGGTTGGTTGTTTAGCAACAACCGCTGGGCTCAGCACCGGCTCAGGCACGGCATGGCCACGGTCCCCATTGCTGGGCTGCAGCCTGGCCTCTGCAGGGTGCTCTGGGAGACAGGGAAGGGCTGGATTTAGGCCCTGAAGGAATTTTGGTGGTTTGGTTGTGAAGGCCGCAGGCGCTGCGGATTTTTCGCGTCCTTTGCGCAGAGCCGCCATTTCCACCAGCAGTGCGGTGCAGGGACGGGGAGGGAAGAACCCAACACATTCTACGTGCCACTCCCCACTTTCTTTCCCCTCTTTCCCATCTCCATCTTCCCTCCTTTTCTGCCAGATTCCATAGGGAATTTCAGCCTCTTACTGCAGTCATCCCAGCCCCTCCTGACTCACCGAGCCTTCGCTGGCTGTAGCTGGCTCCCTCGGAGCATCCTCGCCTCCCGCAGCGCCAGATCCGCAGAGCAGGGGAACAACAGCAACAGCAGCGACAATGGTGGTCCCTGCAGCCAGCCAGACAGGCATAAATACACACACACAGACACACATGAGAACAGTCCCAAACAGCTGTGGAGGGGGGTCTGTACAGCCAGGAGCTGGACTAAGGCACTGTTGTGATGCTGGGCTGTGTGGATGATGGGTGTGTTGAGTCTGTTTTCTCCCAGTGTTGGTTGCATGGACGGCTCTTTGAGGTTTTGCCCATCACAGTTGTGAGGTGGAGACTTTGTAAAGCTAGTGCTGTTTCATGGCTTTCAAGGAGGTGCCACTGGCTGCTGAGTGTGATCAGTGTAGGGATCTATTTGGTTTAATTCCTTTTGCCACCACGTTTTGGTCACAGCGATGGTTTAACTGTGCCTAGACGCAGGGAGGGTAAGGAGAGGGATAAAAGAGGAGTTATTTCAATGTTAAACTTCAGCTGTAAATCTCATTACTCAGGAATTGAGGTTACTGTCAGCAGGTAAATCTGTTGGACTGGCAGGAAACAAGGCTAAGAAGGGGACATGACACATTTCTGTAGGACAGCAGTGACTGTGTGCACAGGGGTGGCACTGTCACCGTGAGCTGTACCTGGGTAACTGCTCCGCGATCGTTCTCTGCACAGTGCCACAAAAGGACTGGGGAAAGCTGTGATTTCTCCCTCCCTCTGACACTTGTGTGTGTGAGAGCTGATTCATTTTCCTCTCTCTGGGTTTCCCTGCTCTGGGGAGTGGGGTTTGCTCTGCCTCGGCCTTGGTGCAGCACGGTGACGCAGCGCTCGGTCCCACGCCGACAGAGCACACGCAGTTTGCTCGGGCGCTGCGACCGCTCGGGGACCGCAGGATTCGGGGAGGGAAGGGAAGGATTTCACATGCCCACGAGAGAAAATTTAAAAGCATTTACCTCTTCTTGTGTGCTAGCGAGGGAAGGCTCTGGGAGGGACGAGACAGCCATGATCTCGTCCTGCACTTGTTTTGCCGATGGTCATGTTACATCTGTGACGCAGACGAATTTTGCTGTTGGTTCCTGTCGGTGCTTTAGGGAGTGGAGCTGATGGGGGCACAAGCTTGAATATGGTTAGAAACATTCATTTCATGTTGATGTTAGAGTTCAAAGCACACCTGAAGGGTCAGGGGTATCAGATCCACCTAGTGACCCCCCCAAATGGTGAAGGAATTGGGGTGAGCCCCAGCACCCCTGGCCATTTTGCTGCTCGCAGAGCAGGCTCGGAGCCTGCAGCTCTGCTGCTGCTGCTGTTCATTTCCATGTTATACAAATACAGCACTGGGCTCTGTGTCAGGAGCTTTCTGATGCTGTGAGAAGCTTAAAGTCTACAAGCAAATGTTTTTCTTTTCTTATTTGGGAACATTCATTAAAACGTCTAAATGCCAAGTGTTCTACCCTCTCTCCTCTGACAAATCTCTCCCAGACCTATCCAGAAAATTCAGTGCTGCTGCGTAGGATTGTTAAAACTTTATCATGGTGTTTTCTTACAGTTTAATATGGGTATGGCTGGGGGGTGAGAGTAAGATTTAATTTGGTTAAATATCTGTAATGCTGATGTTAATGGACAAGCATGTAGGCAAGAGATAGGAGTTGTCCACATCCTCTTTATCTCTGTATATAGACAGTCCCAAGCCCAGGCTGTGAGGAAAAAAAGGGAATACTCTATCCCATTCCCACCCACCCAAACAATCTCGGTGCAAAGGCAGCAGTGGAAAAGGCCAAGCTGGAATGTCACAAAATGGTTCCACCAGCACTCAGAGATGCCAGTGCCGTTTATCCTGGCAGGGCTCCGAGCGGCACCGTGAGCCGCCTGCTGCAAGGTCATTCCCCTGACTCATGGTCAGCAACCAGTTGGTTCAGGAACTCCCAATCTACTTCTCTTGCAACTGTGCCCATGCCTGAACCTGGAGGGGAGGCTTGAAAATTAACATTACTGCAGCAGTGGGGGGCACTGAGCCCAAAACTGTAGCTCCAAAAAAATCCCGTGTCTCTGAAAGATTTTAAGATCCTTATCTGTGATTTGGTTTCTTTGCTAGCTCCAAAAACTTTCCACTAGCTCCCTCATCCCCTTTTCCTCCAAGACTTCCTCTGGACTGCTGGGAACCAAGAGTGACATGTATTTAAGGACTCACACTCTGCCCTAGGAAGAAAACCTCTGTGTAAATTTCAATTTCTGTAGCTGTCAGGTGGGCTCTGCAGGCTCCCCAGAACCTGTCAAGCCAGGGGTGTCTCTCAGCTGTTTCAGTCTCAGGTACCTCAGTTCAGGAGCTGTCTTGTTCCCTCCCAGGTTTCCTCATTTTTCCCTGGTGTTCCTATTTGCCCATCTCACTTGTATTTTCAGTTGTCTCAGGGCTGGCTCTGCTTGTCCCAGCCTCCCAGGCAGCAGAGGAGTGGTTAATGCCTCTGAGCAAAATATTCTTTAGTCCCCAAAGTTGGGGGCACATTCTGTGGACAGAGAGGGACAGGGGGAGCAGGGCAGGGCAAGCAGAGCCCTCCTGCTCCCAGAGCTGCCAGCCCACCTCACCAAGCCCCCCCAGTCCTGGCAGCCTGACCCTGCTCACTGTGAGCCTTCACCTTCCCCGTGGTTATTCCCTGGTTTCCAAAGGGACAGACCCTGGCTGCCAATCCCGATGCCAGTGACGACTCCTCGCCTACAGGGAGGCAGATGTGATGGCTCGTCTGCTAAAAACTGAGCCAACACACAGTGATTCAGCCCTCCAGCTTTCCAAGGAAGAGCTATTTCTGAGTGAAGCTTCTTCTCTTCAGCTCCCCCCACAAACACTCCATCAGCAGCCACTGGGTTTGCATTTGGGTACCCAGCTCAAATGATTCTTGAACACTGGCAGTGGCTCCTGGACACTCGGTGGTATTTCAGGGATGGAATGATGGGAATCCTGGGAACAGGGACAGACCAGCAGCTCATGGGCCTGGGGGAGTCAGCCAGGAGTGTTTGATCAGTGCTTTTCTCCAGCTGCTTTGCCAGGTCCTTGCACTGCAGGTAGTGTTAAACTAAAGGCTTGTTTTCAGATGTCTGGTTTAAAGGCAGGTTATACCTCAGTGAACATCTGGCTGGGTTTGTTTCCTTACGCTCCTCCCTGGCACAGGACATTCTTTTGTCTCTTGAATGACACAAAAGAAAAATATGGCTTCCCTTGCCATTACCTGGAGGAGCTGGAGCAGTGGTGTTGGGGGAACACCGTGTTCCTGAACTGACTGTACAAATCACAACAATCATCTCCCTCTGAGAGCTTTCAAGCCCTGCAATCAGTACTTTACATTCTAAAGTGATGCTTAGGTACAGCAGTTAGGAATAGAAAATGGCCTTTCTGGTTGCAGCTGCTTAGGTGGATCATTTGTTTGAGTGGAATGAGTTTTGCAATGTGCTGCTCACTCAGGCTGTGTAGGACTAAATTTGATGAGTTTTTATTCCTGCTGCCCTTCCCTGACCTCGGCCATGTAAGTGCAGTGCTTTTTCTTCCCCTGAGTGAGTTTGCCCAGTTTCACCTCACAGTTCTCTGTGAACTCTGGAATCCTCCATAGGATCCAGGGCTTCAGCAGTTCCTCCAAACAGGCTGGGGGTTTGCCCAGGAACTCTCCTGAGAGCAAAGCTGAAGGAAAACTGGATGACTCCAGGCAAGCCAAAGCAATCTCAGATGAGCAGGGGGGGATCACAGGATGGGGAACTACAGCACTAATATCAAAGCACACCTCTAATGGTCACCATGATCAAACAGACACTGCAGAGTGCCCCGGGAGATTCCCCTTCACAGGAATTGAAATCAGTGACTCAAATCAAGCAGGCCTGACTGTCCCACTGCTCACAGTTAAAAAGGACACAAAGCTCCACAGGCTTTTACCCCCATCCTGTCCCAGTGTTCAGCCTGCTTTGGGGTTTTGGGGGTTTTCAGACACAGAGTGTCTGGCTTTTAACTCCATTTGTCCTGCACGTGGTAAGGCTGCAAGGGCAGGACTGAAGGAATAGGCTACGTTCAATTCAGGATTGTAATGTGGAGTTTTTATTGTGGTCTTAATAAAGGAAAAAAGTATCTCCCTTATGCTTTAAACTGGTGAAGGAAGTACCTGTTTTTGCTGCCCATAACAGCAGTGGCATCTCCAGAGCCACCTCCTAGGCACAAATATCAATTTTCCTGAGCAGTGCAGCCCCTACTCTGCCTTCCCCCAGCCCAACACCAGGTGCTCCAGACTGAGGGCTGGCTCCCAGTGCAAGTCAGAGCACATTTGTCCACAGCTGACCCACGCAGCACCAGACTTGCACAACAAAGAGATGCAGTTACAGACTCCCCACGCCGAGGAGGCTCTTTTTGAAACCTTAGAAGTTCACTCATTTCCATTCCCCTTACAGGTCACCACTTGTACTGTCACACCCCTTGTCCTGCACCTGGCCTTGGGGCTGATTCATTCCTTCACAGGGAGGATGATGCATCAAGCTCAGATTCTCAGCATGTAAAACAGGGATTATTTTCTCCAGGGGAGACCAGAGCCCGATGAACCACGAGTTTCACCCCGTGATGTGAAAATGGAGGAAAAAAAAATCCATGATGCACACTGAGATCTGTTTGGCTTTCTGGAAAAGCCCTGGAACTGCCTTTCTATAGAAGGTGGAGGTTGTGAAAAATCAAGTGTGTGACATCCAGGCTTGCCTTGTTCCTGCACACTGAAGGTCTCAGGGTAGAGAGGAAGTTCCCTTTCACAGGGAAGGCAGGGATTCCCTTTTTGTCTTTGTCTCCTATGGAATGTATAAAGCAGCGTGAAGTTCATGAAAGGCTTTGAGTTGTTCCTCTGAAAGAACTACAGAACAGCACTGCCACAAAAACATCAGAAAAAACACAGAATGATACTGTCCTTTCCCTACTATTATTTACTGACAAGTCCAGACCACTGTGACAAAGCCAAGGACAGGTGACAGGGTGACATCCCAGGGGCTGGGATGGAATTCCCAGAGCAGCTGTGGCTGCCCCATCCCTGGCAGTGTCCAAGGCCAGGTTGGAGCACCCTGGGATGGTGGAAGGTGTCCCTGGCCCATGGCAGGGGTGGCACTGGGTGAGCTTTAAGGTCCCTTCCAGCCCAAACCACCCTGTGCTCCTGTTTTCCTGCCCATGTGCCCATTCCCAGCAGGGTGCTGTGGATCACAGCATCCTCAACTGCTCCTTTGCCCTGCCCAGACACACGGGGAGCCTTGGAAAGAGAGCACAGACAGATGTACCCTCCCAAAACATGCACCTGCACCTTGCCAAAAAGGGCTGACACCTTCTGGGGAGCTTGTGAAGGCAACAGGACAAACTCCAGGTAGCCTGGAGGAGGAGCAGCAGCAGCATCTTAATTATGCTGAAGTGAAACCTGGTTTTATCAAAACTATAAATAATAAATGAGCCATTGGTCTTCATCTGCTGCATGGTATTTCTGGAAAGGCTGCTCTCCTTTGCAGAGGGAAAGATGTGCAGAGGTGTTCAGTCCTTCCAAGCCTCATACTTTGACACAAGTTCCCATTTCCAGCAGCACGAAATTAAGTGACATTTCCTCCAACTATTTTTCAAAACCCCAATGAAGATTTCTTTGTAACGCTTACTACTGAGGCAAGGAAAAAGCAAAGCAAAGCTCAGTGTGAGCCTGTTCCTCAGAGCTGCTGCTGTGATTCTGTGCTCTGTGCTGCACCTGCCTCTCCTCAGCAGCAACTCCTGGTGCAGCTTTTCAGGAGTAAATCTCACCTGATAATAGAGGCTGCCTCATAAATAACTGTGCCAGCACAGGCACTGGGGAGGGAACCTGCTTTCCACTCGTCTTTCACCCTGTTGCCCCAGATAATGGATTTAGAAACGACAGTAAATATCCAGACACAGGAATCTAGTCCAGTTATTTCCCCTTCCTCCACCCCTCTTTCTTGGAAGGACAAGCTCTCATCTCTGAGCTCTGCCTCTGCTGCCTGGGAGTGTGCATTAGGATGGAGGCACTGGAGCAGATTTTTGGACGTGGTTACAACAGGAATACACAGAGTTGCCAAAAACCCAGGGCATCAATAAGTGAAACTGCTGCCTCCAGTTGTGCTTGGTTCCATTTCACATTGGCCTCTGCTCCAGCACAGGTCAGACACTTATCCAAGGGTTGAGAGCTCCTGAATTATGCATGTGTGGAGCAGTTCAGAGGCTGCTCAACACCCCCTCTATTCCCTCTGCTCTGAGCTCTGGACACTGCAGGTTAAGTGCACTGCTCAGCCCTGCTGCAGTTCCAGGAACCATCAGCCACTCATTTTCACACTCTCCTTCCTCAACAACTTCCACTGAACCATTTACAGTTCAAGTCATGAACGCTCCTTTTTTGTTCTGACCCACACTCAAAGTGTACTTCCAATCCAATTTATTTTCATTCTGCCTGCAGAATTCTAAAGTTGTCTCACAAAAATCTGCAAGTCCTTGCTCATTTAAAGCACAGGGACTGCTGATGGAGGAATTGCCATCAGGACACTCACATTTCCTTCCCCTGTCACAAAAAGCACCTGATGTGCCCTGTACTCCCTGATCAGTTAGTGACAGAAAGCCAGAACTCTGTGTCTTGGACAGAATGAGGTTCATAGCCTGGTTTAATCTGCAGTGAAATGGAAAAAGTTTTCCTGTACCACACAAACTTCCCACACTCACCCCAGCAGCATCACTTGCTGGGAAGAACTTGAGTTGCATTCCACCTGGTTAGGGCAGGAAACAACACTCACTGCCAGGCTGGGGGGTTTTTCCTCACCACATATTTAATTTCTCCTCAACCATCCACAAGATGCCACAAAAAATAAAAAAGTATCCATAAAGCAGCTAAGCCCAAGGTAAATGTCTTGCTGTCTAATAAAATTAAATAAATGAATTTTTCTCTAGGTACGGTGGAGATGAAGGATTTTCTCCCTCAGCCTGCAGCCATGCACAAGATGTGTCTTCCTCTGGAAGCTGGTTTCACATGGTGGCTTAGATTTTCCCACTTTGTATCTAGCACCATTTGAAATCAGTGTTCTAGGAGCAAGAATTACAGCGTGGGAGGAGACCAAGCACCTGCTCACTTCAGCAACATCCTCTGCTCCTCACATCAGCCCCTTTTCCAAAGGCTCTTTTTTTTTTTTTTTTTTTTGCCAGCCATCCACTTTGTAACATCATCTGATTTCTAGACACTTCTCCAAGCACTGTATCACCCTCCCAAGCCAGGGCCACACCAGCACAGCCTCCTGCTCGTGTACTTCTGCTTAATAAACAATGGATATGAGAGTTCAAGGTGTCCAGAGTACAGTGATCCACAAGTTGCATGAAAACCAACGTGCTGCCTCTTGTACCTTGTTTGATACTCAAACCCAGGATCAATGTTTAATTTACTGCCTCAGAGCAAAAGGATTTCCACTCCCTGCTTGGGGACTCCATCACCACAGGATTCTCATCCCATGGCTCTGCAAATACAGAAATTTGACCTCAGCAGTCAAATACAGAAGTGCCTTCAGCAATCCCAGAATCCCAGACTGGTTTGGGTTGGAAGGGACCTTAAAGATCATCCTGTTCCAACCCCCTGCCATGGGCATCACAAAGATGCCAAACAGCACACACAGAACCCACTCCATTTTCCAGAATCATTTTCCAGCACACACAGAACCCACTCCTTTTTCCAGAATCATTTTCCAGCACACACAGAACCCACTCCTTTTTCCAGAATCATTTTCCAGCACACACAGAACCCACTCCATTTTCCAGAATCATTTTCCAGCACACACAGAATCCGTTCCTTTTCCTAGAATAATTTTCCAGTTTGCTGCTGGTACCTCCTAGCATTATTTCACTTCTCCAGCCCTGCATCCCAACCACTAAAAGAAGCCGAAGTTTTTTTGCCCTCCCCGATGCCCAGCGTGTTCCCAGACACGGAAAAGCCAATCCCTGTGTGGATGAAGGTTTGATCAGAGCACTGAGTAAAGAATCTCTAAAGAATGCATAGCTGCCATCTCCAAGAGGATCTTCTCTGAGCCAGGAAAACGTCTCTTACACAGGCTGACCGATTTCTCTTGGTGTTCAGAGTCTCAGTTTTTGTCTAGCACCATTTGAAATCGGTTATGATGTAGGGGGAAAAGCAACAGCAATGGGAAACTTCCTTCCCTCACCCCCCAAGCCACAAATAAACACCATCAGAGCACGACCTGGCTCCCAAACACTGCTTTGCTGCTCTCTGACCTCAAGTTCCCCCCACAGGCTGAACATCCTGCACAGAAGGAGGACAGTCAGCATCCCCTTCAAGTGAGGATGGGATGCTTCCAGACACAGAGAAGCATCTCTTCAAACATAACTCAGCTTCTTCAACTCAAGCAAGCCAGGGCCTGGGTGTGACAACACAGCCACCCAACCTCCTGACCACTTCTACTCCATGTGCTGTTTGTTTGCCTTAACCTGTTCTTTACACAGATTTTTTTTTTTTTTTCCTTTGAAATAAAATTGTGTGCTCTATGCTCCTGGGCTCTGTCTCAGGTAGAGAGATCACCTGATTCCCTGCTGGACAACACCTAAGTGCTGCAAGTCTCTTCATTTCAGCCCCCAGCTCCATTTTCATCACCCTCAGAAGTATTTACATTCAGAGAATCAGAATGGTTTGGCTTGGAAGGGACCTTAAAACCATCCAGTTCCAACCCCTGCCACGAGCAGGGTTTATTTTACACTGATTTTAAATGTGACACTCAGAACCCACCAACCACTGTCACTTCACAGTATTTAACCCTAAACCAGGTAACTCTGGACCTGTTTCGTTACTCCCACTGCTCCTGTTACCAGCAGATGGCAACAACACGTTTTTATTCCATGCAGATTTTCCCTTAGCACAGAGCTCACGTCTCTTTAATTATCAGTTCCAGACTCCAAAATGAAATAATTCATGCAGCACTGAGTTTTAGAGAAACAGCACAGGACTCATGGCAATTAGGCCAAATTAATTTGTAGTGTCGAAGTCAGATTAACAGAATCACAGAGCAGAATCCCAGAATGGTTTGGGTTGGAAGGGACCTTAAATTCCATCCCATTCCATGCCCATGGGCAGGGACACCTTTCTCTGGAGACTTTCCTTATCCCATCAATGCTCACTGCAAACCCAAACTCCAGAGTGCAAACCTGTGCAGTCTGGCATCATTTCCACACCAACTCACTTTGAGGATCACAACCACAAACTGGAAAAGGAACACAGCATATGAAGTTATTTTTTTCTGTTCCACCCTCTGAAAGGCTTCACTCTATCAGGCAGCCGACTCCACACATGAAGTTCAGAACATTTCAAGTGTGAAATTCACACAATTCCTAAATCCACTCTCCTTCACAGGTCACCTAAACCCACCAGAGCTGTCCTCCCTAAGGATTGCATTTGTCACACACTGGACAAAAGGGTCAAAAACACCCTCTGGGCTTTGCCTCAAATGTTCCACCAGGACAGTCCAGAGATAAAACTTCCTCATCTCCAACTTTTCACCAGTTTTTTCAGAAGTCAACACTGTAAAATTTTGGAGGTTCTGGGAAATTCCCTGCAGTTGTAAAAGGAAACCCCAAAAGGTGCTCAGCAAATTAAAACCCATCCCCTACAGTGAGTAACTCTGTGCACAAACTGCAAACTTCAATCTCAGCAGTTCCCACCTGATGTCTGGGATATGAAAAAATCACCTGGATAACAATGGGAAAAGAGCTGCCAGCACAAAGATGAATGAAAGACAAACACTTACTGCTAAATAATTTAACATTTTTATTTGGAATATTACAAATCATCGCTAATCTTTACATCCAGAAAGAAGAATAAAAATACGGCCACTTTGTACAGTGATTTCACTCCCCAGTTAAGAACATTCCAGTGTATTTCAGCACATTGCAGATGCTACTCAAAGCAAGCTGAGCTCCTGACCACCACCACACTCAGTCCCAGTCACACATCCCAGTGTTTACAAACATCTCTCAAACTGAGATATCAGCCAGGCCACCAACAGCAAATCCTCCTGCAGAGCCAAAGCCCCTTTCTAATAAGCACAGCCTATTATAAACTCCAACAATAGGACTGCTGGGATTGTCCCAAAAAGCCCTACAAAGCCCCAAACAGTTCTGTGCCACTCCAACAAGCTGTTGATGACAGGGGGAGCAGTGCCAAGCAGCCACAGACAAGCCAGAGCCCTTCCAATGCTGCCTCAGGCATCTGAAGTGAGGCTATTTGGGTTTTCTGTGAAAATCAGAAGCTGCCTGCATGGTGATAGTGAGATTCATGAAGCTAAAACCTGTTCTAGTTAAGATTTGGGGTTTGCTGAGGAATTAGAAGTAGCAGTGAGTCTCAGGTAATGGCAAACACCATGGTGGGAGCTCCTGGAGTCAGAATCTAGACTAAAACATTTGATGGACAAGCAGCAAACAAGAGAGCACCACATCTCACATAAATGAACTAGTTTGGTTTTCCTTTAACATGAAAAGTGAGTGACAGGGAAAAGCTTCTGCTTCTAAACAGGAATCTGATGCTAAATCCAGCTTTTCAGGGCTTGATTCAACATCCCAGTCTGCAGCCAGAGGTTAAAAATGTGGAATAGGTGACTTCAAGTGAAAAAGCAAAGGGGGTGGATCACACAGCACCTGTTTCTACCCTTGAAAGCAACAGAAGATCTCCAGAACTGACATCAAGGCTCACTAAAAAAATCAAGCACCCTAAGGAACCACCACTGAGCTCACAGCAGTTCCTTTAATTAGGGACCTCCTGTCAACAGGCAGGGGATGCCTTTGCTACAGAATCCTTCGGTTTTCAGTTCCAACAAATCCACTGCAGTCTTTGGGGGGATTATAGCAAATAATCAGAAATATATATGGCTTTTTTCCTTCTTAAAAGCAAAGGAAAAGCTATAGAAGTCTGATTTCAAGGCACACTTTAATTCATTATATATACAGCAACCAACTTTGGCAGACAAAGAGGTAGAGTATATAAGATCTTAATTGTGATAGTTTCCAAAAGACATTGCCTTCAACGGCACCAGACTTCAGGGAATGAGCAACAACACATTTCAGAGCACAAGGGAAACAACAGAACCATTTACACCATCTCAAGTGCCAAAAGGGACGGGAAGGACAATCATGTTTGGGTGAGCAGAGCTCGACAGGAGAGAGGAGAGCATTGCACATCTGTAAGCAAAGAGGTGGCACTGAAAGCAGCAGGCAGCAGCAGCTGGCACTGGGACAGTGACATTCCAGCACTCCCTCCCACACACTGTGGCTACAGGAATAGCCTTTGCCCCAGCCCACAAGCAAGGAAGGACAAGGAGGGGCCCAGGAGGCAGAGCAGGATCTATCCTATGTGTTACCTAGATGCTCACACACCTTGGATCCTATCACACATCTCCTCCTCCTCCAGTTCAGCAGCAGAGCAAGACACAGCACAGGGAGCTCGTGTAACTCACTGCAAGGGCAATCAATCATTCTGCAGCTCTGGCAGGGATATTCCTCTGCAAAGTCCCTCCCACCCCCCAAAAAAGGTCAGTCATGCTTTACACATCTTATATTCGGCAGAACTGGGAGTGCTGTCACGTTTCCTACAAACAAAAAAACAAGTCAGATCAGAGGTTTTACATTGCAAGAGGTTTTACATTTACACTGAAAGCACATCCTTAAGTTTGATCATCAAAGCTGCAGGTGAAGTCACAAACTGGATCATTCTTTAGCCTCTCTTTACCAAGAACTGCTGGACTGAGATTTCAGCTTCATTCAGCCACTGAACTGTCAGGAACGACCCAAGGAGCAGCAGAGCCTTTGATCCAAAGGGATCATTTCAAGTGATGACTGATATTACCAAAAACTAACACCAGAACAGTTACAGGATTCCCATAACTCCACCGGGTGTACCCTGAAATTCATTTTCATTACAGTGTGCTGTTTAGCATGTATTTTCTAACCAGAAATGAAATTTGTTTGTATGGATTTTGATTCTGCAGTCCACTAACAGCAACTTTGCAACACTTAAACATACAAGAACTAAAATTCACAATGACATTTTTATGCATGTCCCAAGCTCTTGAGTAACTCCTGTTTTGCTTTAACAAAAACCCACCCCATACCAAAGCTCTGTGCTATTACTCCAAGTCTCTAAGGAGTTCCACATTCCATAAGAAAACCTCCAGAATTACCAGTGTTTTGACACACCAGACATTTCTCTTATCATGTGTAAAGGTAAGATTGCAATGAAGAATTCAATTGTATCTCCTGATTCCTTTTTTCTCTCCAAAAATAACCCAAAGAACAGATCCCACCTTAATTAGAAACATCTTTCTTCAGAGTGAAGATGATATTCCCTAATCCTTACATTACTTTGGAATAAACTCCAAGCTTAACCTTCATATAAAAACCTCACCAAAAATACTGAAAATTCACTTGTCCTTTACAAATCAATAAAAATCAAGACAATGCACGTGAATAGACTTTTGCATTAAGCTGGGATAAAAGAACCCATCACCTCCTAAGAATTTGTACAGTGGAGAAAAAGCAACAAATAAAAAAAAAAAAAGAAGATGCTGGTTGAAAAAATATTTGTAGTTCCAGCTCTGTTAAGACAGCAATGACAAAATATAGGAAAAGAACAGTCCTGAGCTGTGCTGTCTGCAGAGTGCTCTGTTCAAACAAAGTTTGAAGAGGCAGATTTTGGAAGAGCTCCTTGGACCCCACACAAGTGCAGGAAGAACCCCAACACTCATCACACACAAACTGGACTGAGCATTAGGTTAAAATGCAGGAGAGGAAATCAGCTGCAAACAAGCTTTTGATTCTTTTCAGGGCTACAGAACTCTGAATTTGAAAAAGAATTCACCTTTTCATAAGAAGGTTTCAAAAGATCTTGTTAGTCCCTTCATTTATTCTTTCTAGAAAGCAAAAACGCAGATGAATCAATAATTGTGAGAGGTGTGATCTGGTTTTCTCTGAAGGGATGCACAACTGCCTTTAGGGTTTTAGTATCTCCAGGTGGTTTCCAGCTTCTAATTACAGGGGATTAAACTATTAGCTAAGAAAAGTAACTCACCACTGGCATGGGTGCAGACATTCTTCTGAGTATTGTATGTTACTCATGCTTCAAACACAACACCAAGAAATGTGATTTACAATCACTGGAAGCTCTTACTGACACTGCTAAATGATAATTTTTTATATATATTATATCCTGCTCTCCCAAAATGAATGAAAGGTTAGGATATTCCTTCCTACAGGAAGGCAAGGTTCCCAGCTAGTCAGATTCCACACTCCTGAAATTCCAAGCAAACCACAATAAAGACACTTAAGCTGCATTGCAAAAAGTCCAAATGAAGTGGAAAGCGATACCTTTTCATTAATTCATTTGTGCAGTTTCTTCCATCTCAGCTGGGACATTAGTTTTTAAAATACAAATTTCCTTGCAACTCTCATCAACTGTGTATGAGCTGAACAGCAGAAGGGGAGAAAGGTCTAATTCAATGTCCCATCCAAGTGCAGTTTAAACACAAAAGAAAGAGAGGCCAAGGAAAGATTTGCTGGAATTTGGAGGTTACAAACCAGCAAGGGTCAGGGGCTGGAAGCACAACAGCTCACAAAGGCTCAGCTGCACCAGGAACTCAGAACACTCAACAGGGAGATGAGGCCTTAATAAAAGGAGATTAGATCAGGGTTTTCAGACAAGAAAGAGCTGTAACAGTCAGATGCTCACAGAGAGGAAGATGAAGGGAAGCACTGGGCACAGTGAGGCTTTTCATGCTGTCAGATATTCAGGAATGTCACATTCTTTTAATTTTTGATGATGCTGCTTTAGATCCCTCCTGCTTTTCTACCCCCTGAGAAGTCTCTCCACGGATGAAGCAGCAAGTGCTGCCCTGAACTGCACCAAGAGCTCTTCTCTGGCCCATCCAGGCTGCAGAATATCCGAGTTTTGGATAAAAGCAGTGCCTCAAAAGCACCAGCAGCACACTCTGGCTCTTGGGTTGATACTGCACTGCCTAATTAAAAGTCACCAAGGCAAAACCTCACTGGTTATAAACACCCCCAGGGGTCTCCAGTCTGTGTGTACTTCATTACAAACATGAACCACAGGAATATTCCCTCTGGTTTGCTTCATTCAAAGCAGCCCTTCCTTTGTTTCATGTAGTCCAGATAAATCCCAACAGATTTTGGAAAAAGACAACACTCTTTTGATGAGATGCTTACCCTGCCATTGCCTGTGTACCACCCAACCTGCTCTGCACTGCAAAAGTGGTTTGTATTTTACAAAATATTTCTCTGACAAAAAGTTTTTTTTTCCCGAAGATAAAATCAGACATCACAGCAAAAAGCAATGCACAAAGAGGAATTTCAGTCTCCTGCCCCTCCATGAAAAACCACACATAAACCCCAGTTGTTCTGAAGATAAAGTTTAAAACACCCTACATATCTCATTAAAAACAGAACACTAATTGCTTATGCACAAATCTAATATTTTACAGTTGATTTTGCAAGTCTTTAACATAGAGACACCAACATTGGGGCTGGAGGAGGAGAAGAAAAACCTGAAAACCTTCTGGCAGCACAAGCCCACGCAACCAAGACTCCCCCTGGCTTTAGGAGATGAACTGACACGTTCGAAGCAGATGGACAAAATGCTTCCCTTGGCAAGTGGACACTGCCAAAGCTAAAGAACAGGGATTTTCCCTCCTTGAAATTAGTGCAAGTGTTAATTAGCAGCTTAGCTGAACAGCAGATCCAAAACCAAAGTGAAATTCACGGTTAGGCTTTAGCTTCCATCAGCTGCTGGGAGGAGCTGACACAAAATCAGACATTTGAAAAAGAAAGGGCACGCAAAGCTCAAGAAATTTAAACATCAGCACAGCTCTGGCTCAGTCATTTGGAAATTGGCAGTGTTAATAAAAAGGAAGTTTACTCACCCATTCTGTGAGAAGAATTTCTTGTAGATCCAGAAAGCTGCCAGGAGCATCACAATTACCACAATCACTTTAGGAAGAATTAAAATGAAAAAGTCTTAGAGTGGTAAAGATCATCTCCAGCTCATAAAAAAACATCAAAAAATTTTGCAGAAATAGCCTTGTTTTCATCTACAGGTCTACCCCATCTCTACCCCCCAAAAAAACTCCACAACCCAAATTATTTATGGAATGAGCCATGTAAATTAAATATTTGGTTCTTTACTCAAAACTCTGCAAGATAGTTCAGGGTTCAGAACCAGTGACCACCAAGATGGCAAAACCCCACCAGCTCAGAAACACTAAAAAAGGAATGACAAAGCCCTAAAGTTACTTTTTACAAATTTATACAAATCTGGATAACAAAAGCAAGGACAGAGGAGGGACTGAACACTTCTCTGTTCACTGGCAGAATTATTTACCCACACCCCCAGTAAACCCAAACTCTGAAATTTATCAAAGTGGCCACGTTGTTGCAAACTGCCTCTGAAATGTGACCTCACCACCCGAGAAAATGCACATTTCACACTAAATTAAGCTGTAATAGCTAAGCAATCTCTCTTTTTTTTTTGAATCATGCAGCTTTAATCAAAACTCCAAAATCACCCTGCTGCAGTCTCGGGTGATTGGAATCAAATATGGATTTTCACATAAAAAACATAATTTGTATCATATTTTTTTAAGGTTTTAAAAAATACTTACAACAGATGATGGCTATAATATATCCACCTAAAAACCAGAAAGAATCAGTATCACAAGAGGAACACAGGTGCTTCTTATTCAAAAATTACTATGAAAACATTCACAGAGCTATTTCAAGTACTTTTATCACCACAATCTTTGAAGCAGACTAATTGAAATAATAATATTTATTTAACTTAGAATATGAATACTTGAAGCAATTTTATCAAACCCTGTTTGTCACATTAAAACAAAGAAAGAAGCTGCATTTAATTCTTTCTCCTGAACATAAAAGGATTATTCTCATGGATGTATTTTCATGCCAGTGCAGTTTTTGCAGCCCATACTTACTGAGCTGGCAGGTTGGCACTGCAGGCACCCACTGGTTGTTTCCCATGTACTGAATCTGAGGCTCCCCATGCAAGGTGTACCCCGAGTAACACTCGATGGTAATGAAATCCCCCACAGAGTAGGAAGGTTTTTGTCCATCTGTCACTCTCCCATGATTTATGACTGGTGTGGAACCAGAACCTTCAGACACACCTGGAAAAAAGGGGAAAAAAAAATAATAAAATAAAATTTATTATTACATCAGATATTTAAACCTTGTCAGCGTGCTTTTAGCAGTTTTACTCACAGGCACATTGTTGGAAAGCACTCCAGGATCCCTGTCCCTCACAGGTCACTGTCACCTCTGCAGAGCCATCAGGGAAGGAGCAGCCAGCATTGCACCTGACCTGCACAGACTCCCCTTTTCCATAGGAAGGTTTGCTTGGATCCACGGCCCCATTGGGGATCTTCAGGGGAGGACAAATATCTACAGTAACTGGAATTTAAAAAAAAGTTCAGTGAGAATAAAGCTTATTTCAGAACTCAGTAAATTCCACAAATACAAGTTGCCTTCGTGCAAGAAAAACAGCTCAGCACATGTTAGAAGTTTAACTTTACCCCAATTGTAAGTACAAATATTCCCTTTAAATAATTTAAACATCACTGTAGGTATTCATTAAGGTAACACAATCCTATGATGTGGCAGCTCAGAAATCTGGATTTCTCTGAGCTCTAGAATAATTTCTAGAAAGAAGGAGCTGAAGAGCTACACAAAAAAAATCACACATACAAAGATTTCAGCTACTCCAGAAGGATACTACAGCTTTCCTCACTGTCCTAATTCTCTGTATCAAGTATTTTTTTCCTGCATTCCAAACCTCTTCTCCTGCCTTCACCCATGAAATAACCAGAACACCATGATGCTCTATTTTAGCTAAAACATTTCCAACACACAAGAGGAAAGTCTTACTTTTCTCACAAGTTGGTATTGGAGGAACCCAGGTGTTATTTTCTCCACAGGTAATTGCCTCTGCTCCAACCATGAAATAGCCTGGATCACACTCAAACACAACTGAGTCCTTGTAAGTGTAGGAAAATCCAAATCCAGATGTTTTTTTCCCATTTTCAACTCTGGGGTCTTCACATTTGACCACTGAAAGAGACAAAGCATTGCTTAACACAAACATTTGTTAACAAACAAAAACAAAGCTCGGAAACATTTGTTAACACAAACATTGCACCAAACAAAACATCTTTTCCCTACGTGCCAATTTCCCAGAGTTGTTTTGGAGAAACTTTGTAAAAACATTGATTCCTGCACTTCCATAGTGCTGTGTTTTTAGGAAAAGGATTCTTCCTTAGCTTTTAACAATTCCTAATCCAGCTCCCACATCCTTGCCCTTGGCACAATTCTCCTGCAGGATTTGTGCTCTCCCAGCTCCTTCACTTTGGCCTTGCCACTTCTACCAGACACTCACACAGGTGTTTTTCAAGTTTTAATTTATATTTTAATCATATTCCGTGTCATAATCCATCAATATCCACCATGCTGATTTGACCTCCGCTGGAACTGTGCCAAACTTTGCACCAGAGCATTTCTTCCTTCTTTCCTACAGGCAAAGTCCATTCACCCCACCCCTCTCCCAAAATAAAAGGGCTGCAATAAAGAATGAAAAATCCCAACAACCTCGACATTGTGGAGGTGGCCCACTCCAAACTCCGTTTGAATTTGCATCAGCTGTGCAGTAAATGGTGTCTGGGCCAATGAGGGAGAAGGAATCCTGGCACCTGTAGGTCACTGAGCTGTGGTACACGTAGCCATCTCTCTCCTCGTACACCCCGTTGGCAATTTTGGGAGGTGGCTCACAAGGAATGTCTGTAAATAAAGCCCAAAAAACTGGTCAGATTGGTTTTGATGTGTTAGCTGGTTCACCTCAAAGAGCAAGCCTTGATTTTCAAATTATTTCATTGAAAACCTGACTGGAAGTCGTGCTACAGAACCTCCACTTCAACGAGAGGTTGATTTTAATGTGAGATAATTAGCACAAAAATATTTTTCAGAGGTCATTCCTCAAGCACAACCCAAGTAGCTAAAGAAAAAAAATCATCCCTGTTTTCCCATCATTTTTTATACTGGAAAGTTGGTGGCACAGCTGTTTGTAAATGAAATATCTCACCCTCAATGGAAAATCAAACACAGCAATAATTAAAATCATTTACTCACTTTCACAGTAAGGCAGAAGTCCATTCCAGTCAACACCTTCACCCTTGATAACACAGGAAATCTCTCCACGACCCAGTAATCTGTATCTAGACAGGTAAAAAGTTTGAAGAAGTGAAACTTCTGATTCCTCCAACAAGCACAAAAAAATTGGTTCTTATAATGATTTCTGTTCTGTCATTATGGGACAAAACACACCAAGGTTTTGCTGCAATGAGAACAGAATCTTGTTTATTTTGCTGACAGTCTCACTGTGAAAGCAAAACAGAAGTAAAAGAGACGTCACTGAGGAACTGTGGAAGTCTCACCATTTTTAGAATTACCCTCTAATATTAAAGCCCTAAAATTACTAATACTCAAGAAAAAGGACAAAAAACCTCCTTAATGTTTTTGACTTAACTATTTAATAACGAAAGATGATGAATATATATTTACTTCCTCTGACACAGGAGCAGTAAAAGAAGTCACTAGAGGTAACACTCCAGTTCTGCAGAATCTCACTAAAAAGCTTAGGATTGATACAAAGAGTAATTAAACCAAGGAATCAAATTAAATTTAGCTGTAATTTCATTTGCTACAGGTAGAATTCAGATTTCAGGTCAGAACTGGAATAGAAAACTTGGGTTTGGTTAAAATCTGGTGTAAACATAAAAAAAAAAAAAAGAAAAAGGATTCATTAACTTCAGCAAAACACTTACCCTTCTTTACAAAAAAACTTCAGCTTTGAACCAAATGTAAGATCTGCTGGATCAAAATAACCATTTTCCAAGTCTCCTGGGTACTTACATGATCTTGCTGTGGAAAGGGAGGGGGGGAAAAAAAGAAAATTTAAAAATCTACATGTTTGTACTTAAATACAAAGACAAAATCTTTGGCACTTATGGCTCTTACCCATACCAGCATTTCCCAAGCTTCATTTATAAAATGGCAAAACCCTAATTCCCATTTACAAACCAATGAGACCGTGGGAAAAAGGGGTCAAAAAAAAAAAAAAATAAATTTACCTTTACAGAACACGTCCGAGGATGACCACTGCAAGTTATCACCACATGTCCAGATCGGTAACTTCCCTGGCACTCTCATGTATCCTGGCCGGCAGATGAAGGAGATTTCGGTCCCAACTGGAAAATTCTGCTTTCCCTTGGAGCTGTTATCGAGCTCTGCGTATTGCAGCCGCTCCGGAGGGGGACACTCACCTGGGACAGGAGGGAAAAAGCAGCACAGCACCTTAGCAACAAGGAAAAGAAACACACTGGGGCGTAACAGGAGACAGGATAATTCAAGAGCTCTTAAGGATGTATTTAAGAATTCTTCAATTTTTAAATTTAGGTTTTAACCGCGCCCAGCTCTACACATGTATAAGGCACGTTACTCATTGTTTCCTCAAGTTCTTTAGTCATTCTACCCAGACAATGCACTTCCTTCCAGACCCTAGTTTTGGTCTGTTTGCCTTTTTTTTTTGTAGTTAAACACACGATTTGACTCACGGTACACCCGTTTCGTTCGCTGCATGAAAAATAAACAAGCCGGCCCCACTCACAGAGTTCATTGTCTTGTTTTAAGTAAAAAGGAAAGCGGGGCTCAGGGAGGGAAAGCGGAGTTTAAAGCAGCTCCAAGGCCGGGCTGGACAGAGTTTACAGCCGCAGGTGTCCCTGCCCATGGCAGGATGGGCTCGGAGCTCCCTGCCAAGCCGAACAATGTCAAAATTCTGCGATCCGAACCCGCCCGCCGCGCCCCAACCCTGCGGTTCCAGCACCGCCCTGGAGCCATTTCCTTCCTTCCTTCCTTCCTGCCTCCCTCCCTTCATCCCCCCGGGCAGGCCCCGGGGCAGCCTCGGCACGGCGGGGACCGCAGTGGGGAGCAGGACACCGGCACCATCCCCATCCCCATCCCCATCCCCATCCCCATCCCCATCCCCATCTCTCCCGGCCGCGGCCCCCGCGGGGGCTCCGCGCCGCGCCCGCCGCTCCGAGCGCCCCTTCCCCACCAGCACCGCCCGCCCGCCCGCGGCAGCAAAGAGCAGAACGGCCGCTGCTCACCCTGAGCCCGAGCTCCACCGAGCTGCCACAGCAGCAGCACCGACAGCAGAACCGGGAACGGCACCGAGAATGGCACCGGGAGCTGCCCCATCCCCGCAGCGGGGCCGCGGCTGCGGCCGCTCCGCTCCCTCCCGGCAGCGGCGGAGACGCAGCGCTGAGCTGGGTGCGCATGCGCGGCACGCCCAGCCCGCCCCGCCCCCAGCGCCGGGGGGGGCACTCGGGGACAGCTCGGAACACTTCGGGGACACTCGGGGACAGCTCGGAACACTTCGGGGACACTTGGGGATAGCTCGGAACACTTCGGGGACACTCGGGGATAGCTCGGAACACTTCGGGGACAGCTCCGAGCTCTTCGGGGACACTCGGGGATAGCTCGGAACACTTCGGGGACAG